TCCAAACTTTCTACTTTCTAAACACAAGGCTCCCTCCGCTTCTTGACTCACCCCCCTCCCCCCACGAATTGAACTTATACATACTACTGTTAAGGTATTGTGTATTTTTTGTATGTGATACGGCCTCCAATCACTGTTTTATTCTACGTATGTTGCTACAAAGGGGTTACATTATTGTTCTAACGCACAGCTATGTTAATCTGTTGATACTTTATATAAGTCATAATTATACCGTTGTCAATGGGTAAATAAAAAGTCTAGCTATTACGTTTATTTAACTTCTATGAAGACAGTTGAAGTGCTGGGTCATCAGATATTCAAAAGCTCCTGGTCACCGACATGATTATCTCTTTCTACACCCCAATCCCGCAGAAGGCTTCTAGTTTCGAGTTAGCGTTTCATCAGTTCTTTTAGGTCGAAACACGATACAAAGAAGATTTATCGCTACATCACTACACACTGGTCAGTGCTAGCGGAAAATTTACGTTCGTTGTCAAACGGGGAGGTGGTCTTGTTCAATTGGCTTTTATTCATTCCTTCTTGGACTCGTGCCGAATTTTGATTGAATCGTGGTTTAAAGTATTATTCCACACGATTTCCTCTTCCTCTAGATTGTGAGACTATTGTTGGTGGTGACATGATTAGTTATAATTTGGGTCATCGATTGGACAATGGTTATCCAGAACTTCCAGAAGTGTTGCTGATAAATATAGACACAGTATTGTCCAGTCGACGAAGAGGTATTGCCAGTTTTTACATGAACCAGAAGATCGACTGAGATTGGTTCTATTCATCGTGTTTACTCATTTACATGAACCAGAAGATCAACTGTGATTGGTTCTATTCATCGTGTTTACTCATTTACATGAACCAGAAGATCAACTGTGATTGGTTCTATTCATCGTGTTTACTCATTTACATGAACCAGAAGATCAACTGTGATTGGTTCTATTCATCGTGTTTACTCATCTTATAAATCTCCTAGTGAATGAATGGTGGTCTTCACACCAACACGAGACCCACTACGTGCGAGACTATGAGATTGTGCTTGTACCACGAAATACGGTCTTCCTTAGATTCGGGGTTTGAGAGGGTAGTGAGTTACAGAAAATAGTTTATTATCATTAACTTCTGATCAGAGCAAGCTAACAATATAGTTTAGACCCAAAAACAAACAAACCTGTAGTTAACATAACAAGTTTAACATACCGATCTAACTATGCACTGGCCCGGCATGGCCAGATGGTTAGGACGCTCGACTCACAATCTGAGGGTCGCGGGTTCGAATCCCCATCCCACCAAATATGCTCGCCCTTTCAGCCGTGGGGGCTTTATAATGTGACAGACAATCCACTGGAAAAAGAGTTGGCGGTGGGTGGTGAAGACTAGCTGCCTTCCCTCTAGTCTTACACTGCTAAATTAGGGACGGCTAGCGCAGATAGCCCTCGTGTAGCTTTGCGCGAAATTCAAAAACAAACTAACTAACTATGGGTATGCAGAGTCATAGAAACAAAAACTTCTACCCATTAGAATGCACTGATTCGTCAGTTGGGTATCCTTACTCCTAGATGCAATATTATCCACTCATTTCTGAAAATTCAGCACAATGCTCTCGTTATAAGTAAACACATATTATGTTTACCGTGTTTCACATCTTTAGGTATACGCTTGACAAATTAACAATATTGTCTTAGGAACCTATTAAAATATTTAACATAACTTGATACATATTGTTATTATTTATAATTGGTTTGTTTGTTAGTGTAAAGCAGAGCCACATTGGGCTATCTGCTATGTCCACCGTGGGGAATCGAACCTCGGGTTTTAGTGTTGTAAGTCAGTAGGCTCAAGGCTATCCCACTGGGAGACAGTATAAGAGAAAACTCAACACTACAGTTCTAATTATTTTAAACGTAGAGGTGAGGTTGGTACTTTCGATAAATGTGACTTCGTCGTTGCGAAATAGTTGAACTTACGCTCGAGATTTTTATTATGTATTTAGAAGACACTGTTGCAATTGCACAGTTAGGACTAATAATGTAGTGTAGTTAGAGCTAAACGTTTAGTTTATTTATTTGGAACTTTTATAAGATAATTTAACTTTGGGATAGTATTTGTAGTTTGTATGTATGGTAAAGCTACTGACTGCAGTCCCTAATTTTGAGGTACTGACCAGAGGGTAAGCAGCACTCTATTATTCACCAATCACGTTAAGGGATTGACTGTCACTCTTATAACACACCCAGAGCTTAAAGTGGGACTATATTTTGTGGTATCGAACGAATTCGAATCCGGCTCGCCAGATCCGAAATCCAGAGCTCTACCACCGGGCCTAACTTTTGGGTAGAAACTGCAGACGATAAATATATTCTAATATTCGGTGTTCTACGTGTTTTAAATTACATATTTGACTTTTACACATTTTATGGAGTTTTTATGATCTTATCATTTAAAATTTATAAAGGGTTAATCTTGCTACGTCATTTGATGGAGTAATAGTAGCTAGCAATTCGAATATTGTTTTTTATGTTGACGTCACACGCGAACTTCTCGTAACGCCAATTATCATTTGTTGTTCAACACTGGGAAACTGAGAGTTTATAATAAAGTCTTTGCATAAGGAATTAGAAATAATCACCGAGAAGTGAAAAAAACAACAACAGTTTTTCGAGTCTTCCACATTTCATGACCCCCGAGCGACTCGTGAAGTAACTGTAGGTCTGCTGTTTTTCGGACACGTCCACAATGTAAGCAAACACCAAACACGTCGTATTCTTTGTCCAGATGTAGATATTTTCCCTGGCTAAGGTAAACAAAAATTTAACGCTTCTGTGATTTGTCATCCAGCCAAAGTACACAAGGTCAGGCCTGATTCATAACAGGCAGTGATAACGTGGGTAGCTTTTCAAAATGAAGAAAGAAAGAAAAAAGCGCAGGCTCTTCAAAGGCAATTTCCGTTTTGTAAAGTTTGTGTGTGTGTGTGTTATGAACTTATGATTATGCGAGAGTAAGGTAAGTTTACGGGGCTTAACCACCTAACGTTGGCGAAGCATTGGACACCAATAGGCCTAATATTTGTGGTAAAAACATGAATTGTAGATGCTGTAGCTTTTATCACATATAGTAGGCCTGTTGGAATTAAGTAATTTGTTGTCGTAAAACTTTGACGTAAGGGACGAATATTACTTCAAACAGTATTTTCGTCTAGCAGTATTATAAGATCGTCTTATAATTTTATTCACGGTTACCAATAAGACAGTTATACATTATGAGTATTATTGACTGGCGGTTTAAGCTTTATCTCATAATCTAGTATGAAAAGCTTATTAAATAATGAACAGTATATTATTCTGTGCACTTTTGGTTTGAGTTACTAACACAACGTTGTCGTGTTATGATTTAGTAATTAATTGTATAATAGAATTCTATAAATAGATTTTTAGTTGGAACATAACTCAAAGGAAGTTAAAAACAATATATATATATATATTGTTACGACAGCGGAAGCCAC